GGCTGCTTCTGATACAAAGGCAGCAGCACAGAGTGGCAGGGGGCTGCTGTGGAGTAAGGCTGAAGTGCACTGGCTGCTGGGCCCACCCCCGGGGACTACAGAATAGGCAACTACCCAATAAGAATTCATATGGGTACTTGACTGTTCAATTAACTGATACTTAACATCCCTAAAGACATCTATACACTAAGAACTGAATTAAGAAGTTAAATGTGTCATAAGCAGGGCTCGACAATTAGAGCAATCTACTCGCCCACGGCGAGTAGATTTTAGCCCAGCATGGCGCCGCAGCACGATCAGCACATTGTCGCTGCTGCTTATCAAGCCCTGGTCATAAGAATGGCCATACTGTGTCAGCCCAAAGGACTATCCAGCCCAGTACCCTGTCTACTAACAGTGGCCAATGCCAGGTGTCCCAGAGGGAATGATCAAGCGATCTCTCTCCTGCCATCCATCTCCACCCTCTGACAAACAGAGGCTAGGGACACCATTCCTTAAATGGAGACACTGAATGATGAACATTACACAGAAGTATACTACTATTTTTAAATTCATGAGTAGGTTCACTTATAAGCCAGTCGTGAAATGAGGCATACCGGAGCGGTCGACAAAGGCTTCCCTTGTTGACCGCGGCGCGTCAAGAGTGCCCCACTGTGCTGCCAAACAGCTGATTGGCACAGCGTGGCGGCCATTTTGATGTAAATGAAATGGCAATTATTTAAATCGCCACTTCATTTGCCTAGGTTTAATAAACTCATCTACAGGGCTCCGTCGACAGAACTATGTAGCCTAGACATACCCAAGGTAACCAAGAAAGTGAGTAACATACAATTGGTGGTCAACTGTGGTAATTAGTTATACCACAGATAAACAAGTACGTAGTTTTACTATAATACAAACACATTCAAAAACTAAGGCTGAGATCCAAAGGACTCCAATGAAATTAAAAACCTTTATTTTTGTCACACATACTGTTCCTATCTACTTTAAGGTTTCACACTATCCACCATCTCCTTAGTATCTAAGCATCTTCTGCATATGGCCAATAGTGAAGTTGCTAATGGATACTGTGGCTCCTATATCTTTTGGTGGGGTGTGTGGAAAAATTCTGTTTGGGATATGGGTTTTTGTTGTGGTCATTATCTGTCCTTTTTATTTAAGGGTTTTTGGTGCAGGGTGGGTGGGTGTGATGTATAATCTATGTCTTATAAGTAAGGATGTTAAGAGGTAGGTAACTGAGTAATCATGTAGTCAATACAAATTGCATCAACTACACATTTAGTCAATAAGGGAAGGAGTTCTAAAGAAGCTACCCCTGCTGCGGCTCTGCTGTTTAAATTTAGCAAGAGTTGGGTGCACAGGCAGCCTGGTTCCTACTACATTTAAACTGTGGAGATGCAGCGGGGGTAGCTCATGGACCCAGCACAAGCTGGGACTGAACCAGGCTTGCTCAGTAGTCCAGGCTCTCACTGGGTCC